AGTTCTGGGAATTGTTTACTAAAACTATATGTTTCCCAGTTCCTGGAACTGGGGCCCTTTTGCTGGTCTTAATAATGGCCTCTTATTGCTATAGTAAAATATTACATTTTAATTTTACTTTAGTTTTGCATCTCTAATTTTGTATTTAAATTTTTAATTCCACAAGACTTTAAAGGTTTATAACAATTTATTGGTAAAAACGAATGCTTTTTAGTCAACTAATTTCCTAAAAGCTTATATTGCTGAATCAAACTTTTGAATAAATTTTCACTCAGTCGGAAGATAAATGCTGTTGCATGGAAGAGGTTTAAAATAAATTACTGCTTTGTATAGGTCACTGAATCAAAATCTCATCTTGATTCTAAGTGCCTATTTGTATTTTGGATAAGAGCATAATAAAATTTCCTTAACTTATTGCATCATAATGTTTAAATGGCTTTTATTTTCTTTTTCAAACTAAGATACTTGTAACAATCTACCCACATGTTTAGATTCCGTTCATCTTCACACTAATCTGTATTAATGCTTCTTCCTTTCACTTTAATGTATTTCTGACCTAGCTTCATTTTCCTTCCGATTTTTAATCATTTAAATTTACTTGTATTTCTAGTCATTTATTAAAAGCAGTCCAATAATTCTAAAGATCATGATCTATATTGCTTTACCCATTTATTTATCTCTGCAGGGGACAAAAATGCCCTCTAACTTCATAGTATTTCAAGCGTGAAGTTCTGAAAGGAATAGAAACCACATAGACTATTTTCCTCAGTTCTTGGACCAAGAGGACTTCTATTGTTCAAACATGAGAATAAAAGTTGTAAAGCTTGAAACTGGACATGCATTTAACTAGAACCCTAGTTTTCCTGGGCACTCTCAAAAGTTTTGGAACCAAGCCGCTCAGTTTTTGATAAAATTTGAGAATGGCTCTGGTAGCGTAGTGCCAAGGTACTTGACTGCTAACCAGAAGGCTGGCAGTTCAAACCCACCAGCCACTCCTCGGAAGGAAGATGGGGCAATCTGCTTCTGTAGTGATACTGCCTCAGAAACCCAAGAAAGGGGTCTCTCTATGAGTTGGGTCAGACTCGACAGCACATAACAACAACAACATGGCCTTATGCAAGTTATTAATTTCTTTGTGTCTCAGATTATTTATCTGTAAAATGGAAAATAAGTCTTACAATAGTATCTACTTCATATGGCTATTTTAAGAATTAAGTAATACTTTTTAAGCCCAGCATATAAGGGTTCAATATGTGTTAGCCATTATAGTTGTATTTCTATAGCATTCTTCTACCTTTTCCTAGACCTGTGGGGAATTTTTCCAGGACTTCATATTAATTGGGAAGTCAAGCCAGTGTGCTTAAATTCCAACTTTAGGACTTGTTGCTACGGATGGGCTATAGGACCACAGACAGAGCAGCTGAACTTGGCTCTAGTCCAATTTCATGGCCCTCAACTAGATAACATTTCCCTTTGGGTTGTTCTAGAGACAATGCAGTCTAGAACCAACCAGACTCTAAACATCCTGGAAGTTTTCAGCAGGATGAAGTTTCTCTTTATGGAAATAAGCATACCATATTGATATTCTTTTTATCTGAAAAATATAAAAGTAGCTACTTTCCTAAAAGAAAGGAAAACATTTTGCCAAATGAAAAATTTACTATTCTCTGCTTCTTCCCACACTATCCATAAATATGCTGAGGCCGTTTATTTTGCCAGATGGATGGTTTTGAGACCCTGATGAAACTAGAGATGCCCTCATTTTATACTTCCCTCAAATTCTGCCACAAACCACACTTCTTAGGAGAAAAAAAAAAGTCGCCATGTAAGCATGTTTACCTTCAACTGACTAGGAAGTTGAAACTTGTCCATAAGTGATTACTCATCATTGTAGGCCTATAAAAGTAAAGGTACTTGTACGTGAAAAGGCAGCAGCCTCCAGGCATAACTATTCAAGATGCATCCGGGTGTCCTGGCTGCCTTTCTTGTCTTGAGCTGGACCCACTGTTGGTCCCTGCCCCTTCCTGATGATAGTGATGGTGATTTGTCTGAGGAGGACTTCCAGTTTGCAGAGGTAGAGTATCTTATCAGTCTCAGTGGTGTGGTACATTTCATAAATGCCCTTCTCTTTTAAAATATATTATTTGGTTTTCTTTCTCAGAACTACCTGAAATCATACTACAATCCCCAGAATCCTGCTGGAATCTTGAAGAAGACTGCAACAAGTTCTGTGGTTGATAGGCTCCGAGAAATGCAGTCTTTTTTTGGCTTAGAAGTGACTGGCAAACTTGATGATAACACCTTAGATATCATGAAAAAACCAAGATGTGGAGTCCCTGATGTGGGTGAATACAATGTTTTTCCTCGAACACTCAAATGGTCTAAAATGAATTTGACCTACAGGTAAATCATAGGCTGTCTTGAGTATTTGTTAGTTTTTTAAAATAGTATTAAACGTTAATTTTTATCACAAGATATTCCTAATGGTTAGAGTACGTATGGTCTCATTTTGTTAAGTAGGTCTTAAATATTTAACTGCAAGTTAAGTCCAGCAATAACTTTAATACTGTTGATGAAAATGACTCACAATACCTATTAGTGTTAAGTTAGCCTAGTATTATTTTTCAGTGGAAATCTTAAGATATTTCTTTTAGAAATGAAATCAAAATAGAAGTAAAAGTAGGCTTAAGAAAATTTACAAGTGTAGTACATAAATTTTATTTATGACAGCAGTGTGAAAGATGAAGAATTTCACTTTTTTTTTTTCTCTAGGAATTTTTAAAAAATGGAGATCACTAATTTATTTGGCTATATAAATATAATTACAAAATTTTGGTATACTAAATAAAATGAATCTGAATGTTTAAATTGTAAGATGCCAAATGGTCAGATATTGGAAGGTAGTTGAATTCATCACTGTGTAGTATCATAGGAGCCCATGGTAATTCAAATGCTTACCTTGACTGCTAACTAAAAGGTTGAAGGTTTGAATCCAACCAGAGAATCTTTGGAAGAAAGTCCTAGCAATCTACTAATCTGCTTCCAAAAAAATTAGCCACTGAAAACTCTATGGAGCATAGTTCTACTCTGACACTCATGGGACTGCCATAGATAAGAATCAGCTCAATGACAACTTATTTTTAATAGGAGCTCTGGTAGTATAGTGCCTAAGGCACTTGACTGCTAACCAGAAGGCTGGTGGTTCAAACCCACCAGCCTCTCCTCGGAAGGAAGATGGGGCAATCTACTTCCGTAGTGATACTGCCTTGAAAACCCAAGGAGGGGTCACTATGAGTTGGGTCCGACTCGATGGCACATAACAACAACAACAACAACAATATTTAATAAATTCTTTGAAATAATGAATCTCTAGTAGAACTTTTAAGACTATTGTATTTTGAGTTGAAAAGCAAGATTCCAGGAAAATATATTCAAAATAGCTTTCACCTTCCAAAAAAAGTAATTGTAACTTTCTTTATTGAATAGGATTGTGAATTATACCCCTGATCTGACTCATTCTGAAGTTGACAAGGCTTTCAGAAAAGCCTTCAAAGTTTGGTCTGATGTGACACCTTTGAATTTTACCAGACTTCACAATGGTACTGCTGATATCATGATCTCTTTTGGAACTAAAGGTAATAAAGCACAACCATTTTTGAAACCTTTTTATATTTTCATCCTTAATTACGTTTATTCTTTTATTCTATTTTATAGTTATACATTACTCTTTACAGTATTCAACAAATCTCAACAAGCACTACTAGGTATGATCAGATTCCTAATTCTTGCTTTGTGTTTAGAGCATGGTGACTTCTACCCATTTGATGGACCTTCTGGTCTGCTGGCTCATGCTTTTCCTCCTGGGCCAAATTTTGGAGGAGATGCCCATTTTGATGATGATGAAACCTGGACAAGCAGTTCCAAAGGTAATACTTCTTATAAAGCTATAAGTCATGAGTTATGAGATTATATTAGATAATGAACACTCTGGTAAGAAATTAGGTAGCTTACAAACAAGTTGTATTTGGTACATGATTACAGCTTCTAAAAAATAAATAAAATCTGTTTGATATTTAAGAATATAGTATCTCTAAAAGTGATCAATGTGAAATATGAAAAATGAGCACAAATTTACATAATTTTTCATGGTAGCTTAAAGGGTATTAATCTTGAAATAGGGTCAAATGTCTTGTTGGTCAACCTAAGTATTATAACTGTGGATTACTTTTCGACATATTGGGGAAGTATGGTGTATTATAAATCTCTATCTAAAAACTATTACTTCTGGATCTGTAGGTCATAGATAAGTTACAGGTGGATTGAGATAGTTTTCTCATTGGTAGAAATATTAATGACACAACCTCAGTCAAATCTTTATCCCATTATCTGAGTTATTTGTTTCAGATTTATCTATATCATTTATTTCATAAACACCATTTGACAAATCAGGGTAGTTTCTTACTCCAAACAACAAGAGACACACCAGATGAAGGTTATGGAAAAGCAAAATGAAACTGAATGTTGAGTGAATTCAGCTAGTAAGTCAATCTTCAAGGCTCAAAAGAACTAGGATTGTTAATTTAGGAAGAAAAAGTTTTCCACTTTTGACAGTATGCAGTCTTTCCTTTTTTGTATTGCTCATTTTAGTGGAAAAGATTTGTGTTTTCCTTCTCTGACAGGTTTTCACCTTACACAGTTCCAGCTTTCACAGGTTTTACTGTATGTTTTCTTAGTGCATAGACAATGATGGCAAAGGGCACTTGAGGTCAAACTGAAACCACTGGCTCCAGCATTGATGTGTTCTAAGCAAGAGTAACAGAAATCTCTATTGTCTTATTCATCTTATTTGTCTTTTCACCTTTTATTATCTTTCTTTCTCACTTAAATGTCAGTGTTAGGAGGCTAAAAATTGGCACAACACATGAGTAGAAGAAACAATTAATTACAGTGGCATAATGGTCGTCCCGAGTAATGCTGACCAATCATATCCAGAGTTTCATTTTTTCTGGATTCTAAACTAGAGATATTTTGGAAAGAATCACCCAGGTGGAATTTGCTTCCTAGTGACTATTTAGTACATCCTCCCACATGTGGTCATTATCTCTTTGGATGCTGGCTTCTGTTTGCATGATATATTAGACAGCACCCTAGCTATGTACTACTTATATGATTTTCTCCACTCCTTAGTAAGGTGATCACTGACAATTTTTCTTACTTGACTTTGAGAAAGCAAAGAGCAAATCAGAATTACTAGTGTCTTAATAGTAGAGAGCAAATCATTATTACTACTGTTTTCACAGTAAATCTCTATTTACTAAACTAAAATTTTCTAAAAACTATTTGAGAGCTATCTGTTGACATTTTAATTGTGTTGTTGTTGTTGTTGCTATGTGCCGTCGAGTTGGTCCCGACTCATAGCGACCCCTCCTTGGGTTTCTGAGACGGTGTCATTACGGAACCATCCTTCTGATGAGTGGCTGGTGGGTTTGAACCGCCAGCCTTCTGGTTAGCAGTCAAGTGCCTTTAGGCACTACACTACCAGAACAGGTACAATTAAAGAGAGTACTAAATTATTTATAAGGATTTAAATCAATAGTTTGAATCTTCCTTTAAGCAACTAAATATTAATTTTAAAATATGGGTAAGAGAGCCAAGAAAGAGAAAGGGTGACAAGCCAAATAGATGAGAAAGATGGTACTTCTTTCTATTAACTCATCATTAGAGTATATTGCTTTCTCATTGTTTCTTTTCTTTTTCTTTCTTTCTTATTATTTTTTCTTAATAGGCTACAACTTGTTCCTAGTTGCTGCCCATGAGTTTGGCCACTCCTTAGGTCTTGATCACTCCAAGGACCCAGGAGCACTCATGTTTCCCATCTACACCTACACTGGCAAAAGTCACTTTGTTCTGCCTGATGATGATGTTCAAGGGATCCAGACTCTCTATGGTAACTCTCAATTTATCAGTTTAAAAACAGCATAGATACATAAGTTTATTTTCTAAATTACTGGTCAATTTACTGTTGCCAATAATGCTATCCTGGTTTTGCCACTAAAACCTAGGTAAACAGACTTATTTTTCCCTTCCAAGGCAAACAACTTACTCAAGAAGAAAATATTTCATTCTTCAAAGTTGTTGCAAAATACAATTCCTTATTATATATTGCAATTTATAATCTGATATATCCAACATACATTTGATAACCTCAAAACACCTCTGAGATAAGAAAGGAAAATTTTTGTTTCCCCCTTTAATCAATAAGGACATTAAGCCCCAAAGAGGCTAGTATCACTAGTTCCACTAGTCACACAACAAGAGTTCCTGGCTGGTTCAAACAGTTAAGTACTGGGCGACTGACCTAAAGGTTAGTGGTTCAAATCTCGCAGAGGTGCCTCTGAAGAATGGCCTGATGATCTGTTTCTGAAAGGTTACAACCATGACACCCTATGGAATGTGGTTCTACTCTAAAGCATACAGGCTTGAGTGACATGAGTTGGAACTGACTTGAGGACAACTGGGTTTTTTGGTTAGTTGCACAACTGATGGTCAAAGTGAGATCTTAATCAGCTTTAATAAATCCTGAATACTCTTTCAGGGAGCTCTCAAGCAGTCCAATTTGCCTTAGTAGAAACTGCTCAAGTGGTCTGTGGTCTGTGACAGCTTTTAGCCAACACCTACAGTGACTATTTTAAAAATGTCTGTTTTTTAAAAAATCTGTTTTTTTTCCCAAATTTTCAAAAAATATTTACAAAATAATTTAATCTCAACCCAAACAGGGAAGAGTGTCTGCCATCAATAGATTTAAAGCTACAGTGCACACTTCATTGACGTAAAAAATGCTGGAGTATGTAGCTCAGAAAATATATTCATGCCACCTCAAAATCCCCAACAATCATTATAGCAGCTAGTGTAGGTAGTGATATGAACTTAATGATAGCAAAGGAAATTTGTCAATTTATTTTGCAATTCTTATTATTTTTATAGTATTGTGACCAAGAGGCTGATAATAGAACTTTATGTAAACTGGTAGAAAATTTACAAATATGTGGCAAGTCATATCATAGTTGCTGAAACCTGGCTTGTGACTGAGATGCAGCTGCATTGTGGCAAACTGAGGAAGCAATGTTAGCCAAGGTTGACAGCTGGAAAAATAGGAAAAAGAAGGGGTAGAGGTAAGGGCTCCTATGGGATGATGAACCTTCAGAAATGGCTAGAAGGAGAATATATTTTTCATGCAGCCTGCCAATAAATTATGCAAATTCTGGGGAAATATTTTTCAGTATCTTTTGCTTTTTTCTTCTATCATTAATCTCCAAAACTCTAAATTTGTAGTTAAGATGAATCAAGAGGTCCTGAAGAAGGAAATGAAAAAGAAAAGGATAAACCCCATCTGTAAGACCTTGCTAACCCTTTATGAAGGAAGTAGGAGTCCTGGGTATTGGTACTGTTATATATGAGTCTCAGGGCTTACTACCTATATGCAGAGAACCTTCTGCTATTCTCTGTTAGAATCAGCCTGTTGTGCTGAGACCAGTGTCATTAGTAAAGTCATCATCATTAACTTCTTTTATTCATTCATTGCTTCAGGTCCAGGAGATGAAGACCCCAACCCTAAACATCCCAAAACTCCAGACAAATGTGATCCCTCCTTATCCCTTGATGCCATTACCAGCCTCCGAGGAGAAATGATGATCTTTAAAGACAGGTACACTTGGGATTCTTTCATAAAACCTATATGTGAAAAACATTGTGGAATTGTGTCTGCAAATTGCCAAAACATCTGGTCAAACTGGTAAAGACGAAGTTAAAAGTAAAAATAATAAATCTTTAGGCAGTTAATTCACATATTTTAGATCAAATAAATGATGAATGAATGTTTTTCTTTTCAGTGGATTATTTTGACATTTCGCACCTTTTTGTCTGTTTTAACATCTTTGGTTATAGATCTTTTTTAAAAAAAATTGACCAAGTAAATCTAGAAATGCAAATTATGTAAGAGAAGTAAGTAAATATAGAAAGGAATTGCCATATCATAAACTGCTACTCATAATACTCACCTTAATTCCTTTTGGAATAGAAAAACTTTGATTTTAGAAACATACGTTAGAATTTGAGAAGAGAATCCTTTTGTAAACCTGGAGCTATAGGCAATGAAAAATTAAGTACTTTACTTCTACATTTTTCTAATATGCATATTCGTTCAGTCATAAATTAATTGCCCCGTCTGTGGTACAGTAGCATTCCTATCTTCTCTAACATAGCTCTAAGTACATTGTACTCCAGGTGCTCTCTCTGTGTCAGTTTCTCCAAGCCATAAGTCGGGGAAAACATTATTTGTGTAACTCATGCTTTATTTCCAGAGCCCAACATAGTACCTGGCATTTTTGGTTGCCACATGTAAGATATGCAAAACTGAACAAAGCATGGTCTCAACCCACAAAGGACTTAGAGCCTTCACAAAGCCTCTATGATATTTTGAACTTTAATACCTTAGGCTAGAATTAAGATAGCAACAACTTGTAATTGACACTTAAAAGGGAATGTATTTTTATTCCCCTCTTCATCCAACAAACAAACAAACCTCACTGGTCAAGTCTACTCGACTCATACTGACCCTTCCTTGGGTTTCCTAGGTCGTCTGGTGGCGTAGTGCCTAAGGCTTTTGACTGCTAACCAGAAGGCTGGCAGTTCAAACCCACCAGCCACTCCTGGGAAGGAAGGTTGGACGATCTACTTCCATAATGATACTGCCTGGGAAACCCAAGGAGGGGTCGCTATGAGTCAGGTCCAACTCAAGGGCACATAACAACAACATCACTACGGAAGTAGATTGCCCAATCTTCCTTCTGAGGAGTGGCTGGTGTGTTTGAACTGCCAGCCTTCTGGTCAGCAGTCAAATTCCTTCGACACTACACCACCAGAGTTCCCTTCATAGATGATAGGAAATGTTTTTAACTATCTGCAATGACAGGAAGATAGAGTGTTAGAACTGCCAGCCTTCTGGTCAGCAGTCAAATTCCTTCGACACTACACCACCAGAGTTCCCTTCATAGATGATAGGAAATGTTTTTAACTATCTGCAATGACAGGAAGATAGAGTGTTACAGAGGTAGAAATATCCCATGGAAAAATATGTATTTTCACTCTCTATGAACTTTGTATTCCACTTTGTCGTTAGATTCTTCTGGCGCCTGCATCCTCAGCAGGTTGAACCTGAGCTGTTTCTAACAAAATCATTTTGGCCAGAACTTCCCAACCGTGTTGATGCTGCATACGAGCATCCTTCTCATGACCTCATCTTCATCTTTAGAGGTAAGCCTTCTTTTCTAGCCCTGCACCATATGTAATACAATTTTTCTTTACCTATTTATATTTATAGTTCATATATATTTTTATATTCTTCTTGTTTCCTTGGCATAAAATCATGAAAAGTTTTTCACATTGCTTTTGTCTTCATGATTATAACTCACAATGACTATATAACATTCTAGGAGCTCTGGTAGCATAGTGCCTAAGGCACTTGACTGCTAACCAGAAGGCTGGTGGTTCAAACCCACCCGCCACTCTTTGGAAGGAAGGTTGGGCAATCTACTTCCATAGTGATATCGCCTCAGAAACCCAAGGAGGGGTCACTATGAGTTGGGTCCGACTAGATGGCACATAACAGCAACAACAACAATATAACATTCTACTGATGTTAATGTGTTTGTAGTGTTTGACTATGATAATTAATATTTTAATGAAGTTATTTTTAGATGAAGAAATAAGAAATTTCTGGCAAGTGCAAAATTTTAATTTTCAATCTAATTTGCTGTTCCTACTGTGTTGTGTATTCATGTAGAAAGTTTAATATATTTTTTCACCCAGCTCCAAACTAAATACTCAGAGACAATAAATTGCCAAATTCATTATGATGTTTGGATGGCTGTTCTCATAAATAAGAAATTAGGATTTTTAAAAGACTTAAACTCTTATTTCAAGAGTGCTCATATTTTGTGTTGCATAAACATGGTAATTACAAACACTGAAGGCTTTATTTCTAAATATACGATTCTTTCTTTGTTTAAGCAAATATCTACATACATGAATTCTAATAGATTCCCTTGGAAAATAAAATTGTTCTTTTACTTATTTCAGGAAGAAAATTTTGGGCTCTCAATGGTTATGATATTTTGGAAGGTTATCCCAAAAAAATATCTGAACTGGGATTTCCAAAAGAAGTTAAAAAGATAAGTGCAGCTGTTCACTTTGAGAATACAGGCAAGACTCTCTTCTTCTCAGAAAACCAAGTCTGGAGGTATGGCAGCCATATTTACTGATTCACATTGTGTCATAGAGGCAAAGTTAGTCTCTAACACCTCTCTCTACTACAAATGATCATCTTATGCATTATTTTAAATGTCAAATCAATCATTCATTTCTGTGTGCCAGCTACTTCAGACAGCCCTGTAGATGGGTATTTAAAAATCTTAAGCCCTCTTAAAACACACATATACACAGCCATTTTTTTCTTACTCAGTTTTTAGTTGTGGCTCATTCATGACAAAACTCTCTCTTTTACTTTGCCAACTTCATTCTTTCTTATCTTTCTCCTGGATTCCCTTTCTTGTCATCCTCTCCTAATTCACCTGTTGGTCCATCTTCTCTGGTCAAAGAAAATGGCAGAATACAAGAAATGACTGATTCCTAGGAGACCATCATTTCTACAGAGTTGTGTGATCCTCTGAGGGATATTGATCAGGAAGCTGCTAGGCCAGCAGTTTGTGAAGTCAGCCTCATTCTGAAGGGCAAGTGCAGCTGGAATATCCAAAACTAAAGTAGAGCTTAAGGCAATATTGACGTTAGTAACATTTAAGAACCCAGATACATGTCTATCTTTGGATATGGGAATATGCCAATGGGTACCGATACCTGCAATGTTTACAATGGATGCTTTATCCCATGTCTACACACACACACACACACACACACACACACCGGAGCATCATCTTTGCCTTTTGACTTATTTATTTCTGATGATGACATTCATGACCGTAAACATTACTGACAGGTGACCTTCCCAGTCCCTACACCCCCATGTGAAATCTATGGTCCAATTAAGATGAATTGCTTACCATATCTCACATACTTCGTGCTTTTACTCCCCTATACCTTCCTTAGCTAATTTTCTTTACTTGAAAAATCTTTATCTACATCTCTACTTCTTTAAATTCTACTTGTTGCTTAACTCAATTTGAAATACTATTTCACCTGCAAAGCCTTTTCTGGTCACCTCATCCAGAGGTTACTTCCTTTTCCCCTGTACTCAGACGACATTTCATGTTTACTCTTTCTTGATGCTTAGCTTCTATTGCCTGGTGTTACAATTATGTGTGTGCATGTTTGTGCTTTCTTTATAGTACAGTAACTATTACCTTTTACCTACTGGAACAAAACTGTCATTAGTAACAGTAGTACATTATGGGAACCTGTTCTTTTAAGTTATTTCAAAATGTTTTTGGTTGGCCAGGGTGTAGGTATAGTCAGAGGAGGAGGAGTATGGAATATGAACCTTTAGATTCTCCATATCCCCTATAATTTTAAGTACAGAAATTAAATCTTATTTCCATTTCTGAACTTAGCAAGTTGCCTTACACGTAGTAGGTGATTGGTAGATAATTGTTCAATGAGTAAATATTTAGTGTCTAAAAACACTTTTAAAATGATATGATTTTTAAGATAAATATAATTTTTTAAATGAGATAAGCTTGTAAATCACTTTACAAAGATAGCCTCTGTGTAAGGCAACAAATATTCATCAATGGTCCACTATACATTTAGTGTTATAATTCATAATTTGAAAAAGCTACCATTAAAAAAAAATGGGCTTAAATTCTTAAAATCCTAGTCAGTTTTGAAAGGTGCCAGTACAGTCACTATCATTTCTAAGGAAATTTGTAAGTAATCTAACCTACTTAAAAATTTCTTTTTCTTATTAAATAGTTATGATGATACTAACCACATTATGGATAAAGACTACCCTAGACTAATAGAAGAGGACTTCCCAGGAATTGGTGATAAAGTAGATGCCGTCTACGAGAAAAATGGTAACTAATTTCATTGCATTAATTTAATGGAGGGCTTTTGTAGCTCCTCAAAATTCTTTCTCTTATAAAAGATTTCTACACAAGGCTTAGATATGCCAATAATTGTATGCCAGTTAAAGAAGAAATAATTCTTGCATGATTCTTACACAAAAAGAAAACAAAAAATAACGTACTTAGGATAAATGACAATTTGACTAAACGATCGCTAATTGTATTAATAAAAGAATGCTAAAACTTAAGCACTACCTTAAACTATGCTTAAACATACTAAGATGCAAAGAGTATTGGCAGAAATCAAATTGAAGATGGAGTGAGCATTGATTTATATATAAAGAGATGCAATTGTCATAATTGTGTAATGATTTTCTGCTTTAATTGTGAAAAGAGGAATTATCCCTAACCTACAACAAAATACACTGACATTAGTAATTGAAGCTTTAAAATTGGAACTCATGGCAAGAGAACAATTAGTTCTAGGTGAAAATTTATGGGACCTAGTATAGTGGCTAAGACACTTGCCTGCTAACCAGATGGCTGGCGGTTCAAACCCACCAGCCACTCCTCGGAAGGAAGGTTGGGCAATCCTACTTCCGTAGTGATACTGCCTCGGAAACCCAAGAAGGGGTCGCTATGAGTCGGGGCCGACTCGACGGCACATAACAACAACAACAGGAACTTTTATAAGACAAAAGTTAGAATTTCTTTTTTAAAGTGGCAGCTAATAGATTGTACCTTTAATATTAGCAGGAGTAAACTTTATTAATTCCAAACTCTAAAATTTTCTTTATTGTCTTTTTTCCTAGGTTATATATATTTTTTCAATGGACACATACAGTTTGAATACAGCATCTGGAGTAATCGCATTGTTCGCGTCATGCCAACAAATTCTTTACTGTGGTGTTAAATGTCTTTTGAAAATTGTTATTTAAATCCTGGAGAACATTTTGAAAAATACTTCCAGAAGTATTGGGTATGGGGACATAGGCAGATATCAGGAGAAAGCTTAGTTCTGTGAACAAGCTTCTATAAGTTATCTTTGAATATGTAATATCTATATGGCTATGTGTGGCTGGATCCATACTGAAGAATTTTAAAGTAATGAAACTTATTACCTTTAAGGATCGATCACCTGATTCTTGTGCTGTAACAGTTAGCACTATTTCCCACTCCAAAAATGAGATGTGTAGTCTACCAAAAAGAGTTAAGATACTTATTAAATATATTTATAATGAAACTTTGCTAAGACATAAAAGTAAATCAAATTTATGTAATTAACAAATTGTCTTACTAAAAAATATAAAATAGTATGAAAATTGATTTTTAAAGAACATATGGTAGCCATATATTAAAAAAATGATAAAAGGAAAAATATCTGTAATAACTACATTGCAGATAATTTTCAAGAGAAATGAATGATTTGGTTTCCAAAACAAGAATATTTGGATGTTCACACCCTTATCCAGACATGAAAAGAAATATCAAAGCCACTAAGGATAGGAGGCCACGACTAATGATGAGGAGGATAGACTTGGCCTTTGGATTCTGTTTAATTTTTACTTTCAACAGTGACTGAAGGGCTGGTCTCAAATAAGACAAACATCTCTTTGCATATTTATAGAAAATAAAGGAGTATTTTAAATTTTATTAAAATATTCCAGCTGTCAAAAAGTAAAGTATTAAAATTGTTACCAAAATATTCTAAGGCCACATATCACTATATAAATCATTTGATTACTTAAGGCTGAAAGAATTACTGTAACCCTATTTTATCTAGATAATTCTTTTAATTGTTCAGTTTGCCTTGAATATATAGGTTATTTGTGGAGCACATGTATACCGGAGAATAAAATATATCTCATAAATTAGAAGTATATAAAACAGACACACTCAAAATAAAGGAAACAGTACTAGATAGTGATCTAGTAGAGGATTTTACTAGCACAGCGCCTCACACTTGGTAAAGAGATCAGTAAATAGTTATTGAACGTATGAATGGTCATCGAGAGAAGGACCATTGAGCTGAGAGATCTTGTTTATGAAAACTCAGGCAAAGAAAAAGAAAGTTTGTCATTTTGCAAAATGTGTTAGGAAGTGTTTATATTGTTTATAATAAAATGATATTTTCAACACACGTTGTTATGAAGTATATTTTCTGTTGGGGGCAGTGGTGTCTCAATGGTAGAATTATTGCCTTCCATGTGGGACACCTAGGTGTGAGTCTTAGCCAAAGCACATCAAGCATAGCCACCATCTGTTAATGGAGGCTTGGGTGTTGCTAGGTTACAGAAGAGTTTCCAGACAAAGACAGACTAGAAAGAAAGCCCTAGAAATCTACTTCTGAAAAATTAGCCAGTGAAGACCCTTTTGATCCAACAGTCTGATCTTGTTGGGGATCAACTCTATGGCAATTAGCAACAAAAACATATCTTATCTTCTGTGTAATTTTAAGCTTTACTTACACAAAGAGGGTCTATTTAAATTATTTATTTTCCTTGACAAAATTTCTTGGTGAATGTAGCAAACTCACTGTTCTTTTTTTAAGAAGACTAACTGGAAATTTAAGGAGCTCTGGTAGCATAGTGGCTAAGACACTTGCCTGCTAACCAGACGGCTGGCGGTTCAAATCCACCAGCCACTCCTCGGAAGGAAGGTTG